CTGAATTGAAACGATTGTGCCTACACCTGCATATCGCCTGTACAAGCACAGAGGAATGTGAAACAAAGCAATCCCCACCTACAGAGGGTGAACTAGATGATCTTTAAGGTCCCCTTCCAACCCAAACCATTCTATGATTCTATGAATCAACATCTCCAACATATCACATTTTAGGATGACGTGTGCCAGTAACAATCCTCTTGTGCCAGGCACACCAGGAGCCCCAGCACAGAGGTCACCACTTCTGAACCAGCCAAGACCCTCCTACAAGGCTGAGGGCATCGAGCATGTGTGTGCTGTTGGCTGCCACAGCACTAAACAAAACTTATTTATGGACAGAAGTCACTCAATTAAATTGCACTTCCACTGAAAGTACAGGCTCGTACTTCCCCACCCCAACCTTCTCTTCCAATTCGCAATAACCTTTCTCCTAATTCAAAAGCAAAAATCTTCACAAAGAGCGCCAGGGACACACAGGACTTGTACCCACTCCACTTCACAGCATTCACTGCAGATGCAGAGTCTTAATCAAAGAACATGATTGGGGTTTGGGTTGGAAGGGACCTTTAAAGATCATCTGATCCACCTGCCCTGCAACAAACACGGACATCTTGTCAGCATCTTTCAGTTCGCTCGAAGCCCCGTCCAACCTGACCTTGAACACTTCTAGTGCTGGGGCATCCACAAAAATGATCCGAGGGATGGAACACCTTCCCTCTGGGGAAAGGCTGAGAGAGCTGGAGGTTGGTTGGTCTCCAGGAGACCTTACTGGAGCCTTTCAGTACTTAAAGGGGCCTTACAAGAAAGATGGGGACAAAAGTTTTAGTACAGTCTGTAGCAACAGGACAAGGGGCAATGGTTTTAAACTAAAAGAACGTAGATTCAGACTAGATATAAGGAAGAAATTTTTTACAATGAGGGTGGTGAAACACTGGAACAGGTTGGCCAAAGATGTAGTAGATGTCTCACCCCTGAAAACATTCAAGGTCAGGTTGTATGGGGCTTTGAGCAACCTGATCTAGCTGAAGATGTCCCTGCTAATTGCAGGAGGGCTGGACTAGATGATCTTTAAAGGTACCTTCCAACCCAAACCATCCTGTGATTCTATAATCCACAACTTCTCTGGGCAACCTGTTCCAGTGTCTCACCACCCTCACTGTAAAGAATGTCTTCCTTGTGTCCAAGAAGTCTCTAAAAACCCTACAGCCAAATACTCGCTCAAAACACTGGCTTTGAGTATCAGAACTTTTCAGTACAAAAACATCAAACTTTTGTTTTCCCCAGTTCTTCAACATTTGGCACACCATCCATGCCTACAAACTCTCTACCTTGCGCACAGTCTGTCCAAGCAAGACCATTTAATTGCCTATTTTCTCTACAAGGTATCCCACTCTAGCTTCAGTCATTTTCAGCAGCAAGTAATTTCCACTCAAACCTGTCCAAAAGCTTAAAATTTGAAGGAAGCATTTTAATCCAAGCACTAAGCTACCCCTGGATTTTTATTGCCTTCTTCCTACCGAGAGAACAAGACCCAACTTGTTCTCCAACTCTCAAACCACTGAGTAGAAAACACAGTGTCTTCCCCAGCTCCTCCTTCTCTGCAACCAGCAAAAGAAACATCATGAGATATCAGCACGTCGCTCGCTTTTAGAAACGAGTCGGTGACTTTAGGATTTCTCATTGCGTAGTAAACACAGCGTAAGACTGCTCATGATTCTCTTGACTACATGATAAAAGCAGGGAAACTTGCACTGCACTCCCCTTCTATGTAATCCAAAAATAACTCAAGACAACTCCAAGGACAAGCGACTCCCATCAGCAAAAGTCATTTCAAAACACACAGACTAACCTGCTCCTCCATCTGCACCGTGGGGTGACGTTAAGGAGCTGAAAGCCAACTCAGTGCTCTCCAGTATTTATAAACATAAACACACACCAGGCATGTCACAATTTTTAAGCTTCTGTCATTCCCACGTTTCATAAAATGCAGCTTTTTCACTCCTGCTGCTGCCACCCCAGCAAAAGTAACTACTCTCCTCCTCATTCCATTTGAAGGAATGCTGAAGAAGAAAGTGATATGGACCGATTAAACAAAATTTTAGCTGGAACTTCACACTTCTCATTGCCTTTGACATTACCTTACAGTGTAGAAGGACACAATCTGTTCTGCAGTCACACCTCAAACAGAGGATGAGAAGGGGCATGGGCTTGCAGAAAGGAAACAGGAAAGAAGTGAGCAGAATAGAGTATTTTCTTTTCAAGGAAAGGGCAATCTCTATTTTACAAGAAAATTAAACCTCCTTCATAAGCTCTTGAGTTTCCAAAATGTTAATAAGTTTTCCTGATATACACAAGAAAGCAAAAGTGAATTCTAAATGTATGAAATTTATTTCTACTTTAAGGTAAAAGGCAGAATTGTGGCTGCCCCATCCCTGGAAGTGTTCAAAGCCAGGTTGGATGAGGCTTTGAGCAACGTGGTGTAGTGGAAGGTGTCCCTGCCCACGGCAGGGGGGCTGGAACTTCCAACCCAAACCATTCTGAGATTCTATGAAATGGAACTTAAGCAAAAAATAAAGTATAATGCAAACCTAAGATCTGCACCTGTAAACCAGCAGAGAAAAGGGCAGCAGGGAGCCCAGCAGCTGCCTGGTGAAATGCAGTCACAGCAATAGTGATCTCAACACTTTTAAAGCCATCCTACCATCCGAAGCAAACACGTGTAAAGGTTCAGGAGTTACTTCTCCTGAGGAAGTCTGCTGCAGGTAGCTAAGTTAACACCTCTCCTCTTGGTTTTAGTATTTTGAGGTACTCGCCTTCTCATGACAGTATCAACAAAATGAGATTTTTCATTTCCATGAAACACTTTCAAATCTCAACTCTAACAAAATGATATACTGGAGATGTGGAAAGGGACATCTACAGGCACGAGGCGCCAGGCTCAGGCACACGTTGGATACAGTTGCATAGAGCAGCGGTACACTCCTAACTGAAAGATAAGGAAAACAAACTTTATATTATGTGTTTATGAACCACAGCAACAAGCTGGAGTGGAACATACAGAGCTTTTATTTGTGTTCTGGTTGCTTATTTAAATAACCGTTTCCATTTTCCTGACCATTCAAACCGGGTCCACAACAGGTAGCAAGATCATTTCCTCTGGCTGGAGGGCAATTTGAGATTAATTTAGCCCTTTTTGATTTCACCTACCTTCTACCCCTTTTTCTTC